AGGCTTGTATGCACACAGAAGCTCTGTGGAGGCCTGAAAGAACGGATGAATATTTGTTTATTCTGGTTTCCATGGGAAGGTCACTTTGACTACAACTACTTCCTGTGTGGTTTCAGGCCGGTGTGTATGAGTGGCTGGCTGAAGCTTGCAGGTTACCACCAAGGCTCTGGGTGTCCGAGGACCACAGGCAGAAAGGTATTGAAAGCCTGCACTTTGTCTCGCTCATGGATGAGTCAAAGATGAGGAACCGTAGGAAGAGGGAGACAGACTCGGTGTGTTACTTGGGTTGTGGAAAAAATAAGGATGCTTCTAACTCAGACCGCTAAGCTCTCTTATTTACAGTTGCCGCTGTCACATGTCATTTAGGTTCATACCCAGCATGGCCCTTGTGACATTCTGCTCCATTGTGCTAACACTGATGGACCTTGCCAGTTCCCGCTGTTTCTCTTTCTGCCTTCAGGCCTAGCCTTCATCCCATCTCTATACCCATGACCACAGACCTTTGCCCCGTTAGAGTCATCTGAAGACTGAAAGCTCTCCAATAGGCAACTATCCTAGCAGAGTTGTTCAAATGTTTGTCTGTCTTCTGCCAACTTTCTTTTATCAATAGCAAAAACAAAACCCCAAACAAAAAAACTCTAAAAGGAATTGCTTATGGGCTTTCCTTAGACCTATTTGTCTTGAAATGAGGGTGTGGTGTTTTTGAGGAGAAAATAAACTCAGCTGAAAAATACTGCACAGAGGGGAGGTTACAGAGTTAAGAGAGAGGGCAAGCCTCGAGTGGGTTATAAGCACACTCCTTTCTTCAAGTTTGAGCCAAGAAACGTAGGAATGGTTATGGTTTCTTCCTTGTCTTAGAGAAACTCCGGGGGTAGCTTGCTTACAATAGTGGGAGCTAGTGCCTGGTCGGACAGGAGGACTGGGCCTCAACACTGCCATGGTCCCTTGAGACTGACCCCTGACAAAGACATGCCATGTTTGTGTGCATTCCTTTTAAAACTCAGCCCCTCTTTCCAGTTTCCACCGAACGTCTACTCCACAGCCCCCAATGATGATCTGTTCAGACAGCACTGGACAGAGTCGGGGAAAGGTTGGACACCTAAGCTGCCTGTGGCCCTAAGGATTGCCCTGCGGAGTCTGCTGTAGATTTTCCCTTGCTGCTTAGTGAGGTAAAAAGTCTCTCTTGTCTCCGTCCTTATCTCTCTCACTGTAACCATGACCAGTGTCATGTGGTCTGATTGTTTACCTGAAGTCTTTCTCATCAAACAAATGAGTTACACAGTGGTGTCTGGTGAGGAAGGGGAACTTCTTTCTGGTCTCTGAGCACATTCTAACCTCTGAGACTAGTTTCCATGGTTATTTGAGCCAACACCGAAAGGGCTTCAGTTACTTAAGGTACCCAGTATGTGGTCTCCCAGCTCCAACAGTGTTTGGGAACTCCTGAGGACAGTTAAAGATTGAAGTTGCAGAAACAGAAGAGACAGGGATGTTTGGATATTGTCATAAAAGATGAGGTTTAGCTGAGTCTCTTCAAGATCTGGAGTTCGCCCCAGGAGCCACTCCAAGAAGATTCAGCCTTTACGTGTGATCTTTTCATTTTATGTCTGCCATCATTTGAGTACTGCATTTGTCCTTGTGTACAGACATCCGGGTGATACCAACCTTAGATGGAACTGGGTATACCCGCAAAGAAAGTAACGGTGCCTGGGTTCTAGTTCCTCCACAAACCGGCCGCATGGCTATGGCACTCACTTCCCCTCTCTGAACCCCAGTTTACTCATCTCTCAAGTGAGAGGGCAGGGCTGGTTCATCTCTAGAGGTTTTGTTTTTCCATTTGAAGTCTCTGAATCTACGGTTACTTCCTCTTCTTCATCAACAAACAGCCTTGGTTCACTTAAAAGTCTTGATGCTGGCATAATATTCAAACTCCACTATGCTGGAGTATGAGATGCACATGAATCTTTTCAGGATACAGGCTTCCATGGTCGGGATGAGAGAAAGCCACAAATATACTTTAGTTATAACTGATGTCCAGATTTAGAACTACCACCCACTAAACTGGTACCTTCATGAGGATTAGAAAAAAAGAGTCACCTGTGGGTTGACTCAGCTATAAGGCTGGTGGGTCAATGGCCTACCAGAATTCTGGCTACTTTTAGCTCCACGAGGTCTCAGAAATCCTTGTGCAGTGAACAACCTGCATGCACACATATTACCAGAACATTTCTTCTTTGGGCTCCGGCCCTTTTGGTTGAGCCATAGAAAAGGAGAAGGATGAGGTGAGGCTAAACTAATGCACATTACTGATAAGACACAGAGAGACTTTTGTCATTAGTGCCTGAAAATATTTCATGTGATTAAAAGAGCACCAAATCTAGTCCATGCTGCTGCTGTGTCCTGCACCAACACACCCCATCTGGTTTAGGTAGCTTCAAGAGATAATAATGATAAGCCCTTACATTTTATAGAGCCTTAAAATTTATGTAGCACATTAAATGTACTTACTTTTTCAATTGGATTCTGATCCTAACCATTGCCCTGGTGAGTAATAATTATCTCTGTTTTAAATACAAAGGAAATGAAGCTGAGTGAGCCAAGGACTTGTTCAAGGGCAGTTGATCAGTGATCCAGTCAGGTACTGAACACACATCTGTCTAAAAATGCCCATGCAAGTTGCCTAAGATCTGGACCTGGGCACCGACATTCAGATCCAAAAGCAGCTCTGCAAGGGTCTGGAATCAGTCTCATCGGCTCATCCTCTTCATTCTGATGAAGACAGGTCTCTCACACAGGTGAGGTGGCTATACATTCTGGAGCAGCGGTAGCAGATCATACAACCGAACTAAGTAGGTAGGCCTCCTCTTCCTCCTCCTTTATAATGAGGTGATGGTTCCGAGAGATGCACTCACTTAGTTACATGGATAGGTCATACTTGTGTGCCATTAATCCAGAGTTATTTCACCATTTTAGCTGTGAGGCATCTCAGGGAAGCCTTGCCTCTGGGCTGTCTTCCTACCTTACATTCTTCGGTCTCCATTGTTCATATCTTCATACAAGACCCCTGCTTTTCTTCTTGGCAAGCCAGTCCTCATCTGGTCAATAACTCCAAACACAATATGAGGCTACCTAATGATGGTGTAGTATGGCTGGAAAAAGGCATCTCACTCTTGGCAGCAGAGGATGCAATCCCCATTCCATGCTGTTCCTCCACCTGCCATCGAGTTTGTGACAGCTTTTTCCTTTGCCCACAGTACCTCTTCCGTGGGAAATGCTAGCCATTTTCAAGATCCTGCTCACACACTGCTTCTGGGGTGCTTACTTCCCAGGTGACCCCTGCTCATCCTTTGGATGGTTTCACCATTACTATTCATATGATGCACATAGTTCTGAGCTGTAGTTTGTTTCTCAGCACTGATTTGCCAGTCTGGGGCTCTTCGAAAGCAGAAACTATATCATCACCTTAGATTCCGGAGCTCTGGCACACTGCCAAACACACAGTAGGTGCGGTAAAGCTCAGTGGATGGATGGGATGTCCTTCCTCTATGATAAAATCAATAAAGTAGCTTGCTGAGTGTTTATTATGATCTTGGTTTTGATCTGAGGTTTTCGCCTCTTTTCATTCTATAGGCAGAATGTTGACAATGAAGGCCAGAAAACATTTGTTTTGTAATGGGCCTCTTTGCTAGAACTGTGTTATGAGTAAAGAAGGGGAGGCAGAATTTCAGAAAAAGGGAGACACTGGGCCAAGTGAAGGCCTATCAGACTAAGTGGTTGATAGATCTGAAATAGTTCAAAGGTAGGAGAGAGAACCTTACAGAATTTTCCCACTCACACATAACTCTATAGAATATGAAGGTTTACTTTAAAAAAAAAAACGTTAAAAAAACCCTACAAAAACCAAAACCAGGACACACAGCTGTGCTTAATGTAGCAGTGCCTTTCAGTGCCTTGCAGGGTTCTTTAGGTAGCATTGGTAAACTTTGCAAAAGGGTTTTAAGGACAAGATGCACCCATGTAGCTTTTAAGTCTTGTTCTTGGTCCCCAACAGCATTTCAGAATGAAGGTGACTTACATGAGCTTTAGCTTCTTATGGATGCAGCACAGAGGCTTTGGAAGGCAGGTGTTCTGGATGGAGATGCTTAGGTGCCGCTTTCCTGTCCTTCCTCATTGAGCAGACTGGGAAGAGCAGGCCGGCAGGTTCCCAGTGGCAGACTGGCTGGCGTTCTCTGTTAAATTAGGGCAAGCACTCATCCCTGCTTCAGGTTCCCTTTAGTTAGGCAGGGCTGGTGTTCAACATCACGGCTATCTATTGGGCTATCATTTACTTAACTATTATTATACAAATCATTCCTACAAAGCCCTTTCAAAACACACACACGGAATCAGGACCTGCTGTGTGCTCCGATCTACCTTTGCGGGTGGGAAGAAGATCAAGGACCATTTAGAGAGTTAGAAAAGTTCAGAAAAAAATCTGTGTCACACAAATTCTCTGGGAACTCAGAATAGCACACAGGTCTCACTCCACCCCTTGGCTCCAGGCCGCGTTTTCAGTCTGGTCAGTTTCTTAGCCTCACTGAAATTCTAGTTTCTCTTAGAGTGATCAAGAAAAATGCAAACCGGTATGATTTTAGGAGCATCTCAAATACTGACTTCGTCCATGGAGACTGTTTATCTGCTCCGTTTCAAGTGGCTCCTACCGGCAGCTGGTGTCAACTGGAGTTGAGAACTCCACCCCAAACTCCAGAGGAGCCCATGTGGCAGGCCAGGAGCGGGGAATAAAGTTGTAAGACCTCTAGGAGGAAAGTTAGCTAGAACGAAAGCAACCCGGCAAGAGGCTTCTTAGAAATAACCCTTTTTAATCTCACTTCTTCTCTCCGGGGCTGATTTCACCCTTCTGCAGAAAGAAGTGAGTGGGAAGTCCCCTTCCACACCAGGGGCAGATCCCAAATGTCTTCTGAAAGTAACAGCACAAAAGCACTATAGAAAGTTTTGAAACTCACCTTTGGGTCCGCTGGAGGGTTTCCTGCATGTGGGACGGCTGGGTCTGCTCGGGTGCTGTCTGGAGTGACTTAGGCACAAGGGTGAGGTCTCAATCCCTCCTCCAACTCCTCCCCGCCGCTGCCAGGTCCTGGGAGGGAGGTGGCGCTGCGGGTCAGTGGGTGCCACCCGTGCGGTGTGTAGAGGAAAGCACCCCCTGTGTTCCCCGCTGAGGCTTCGCGGCACCCAGTCCTGCTCCTGAGGTCAGGAACTCGACTTCCTGAATCTGACTGGCTGACTCCGCCGCTCCCCAGCCCAGCCCACGCCTTAAACTAGGGCGAGCGCCACAGCCGCAGCCCAGTCCCCTTCCTCCGGGGCTCCCGGCCAGTGCCCCCGCTCCCGCCCTGCTGTGACGTACTTTTGCCCCTCCGCCCCGAGAGCACGCCTCCTTCAGGACGCTGCCGAGCTCCGCTCGACCTGACAGAGTCAGCTTTACTCACAGATGCCCTAGTGTTCCCTGAGACATGGGGTGTAAACAAACTCCCTATCCTGGTTAAGGGAAAACAACAGCCCGGTGACCACCGTCTAGGAAAGGGGATGGAGCGTCTTAAGGGAGAGCAGGCTGCATTGCTTCATCCCCACGTGTGTGTGTGTGTGTGTGTGTGTGTGTGTGTGTGTGTGTGTGTTCCACGGCATCGCCTGGAAAATCTTCGGAGACACTGAGGAAAAGTGATAGGAGCCACCTGAAACTGTTAGGAGCACAAAAGGCAGGGACAACTAATTTCAAATAGTTCTCAGGAGTTCTCCCCTTTTACGACATTCATTCTTCGTGTGCTTATATTAAGATCTCTGGGGTCTAACTCCATAAGGGCTCTGATGATATAGAGCGTGTTCAGTGTCTCCAAGTCTTCCGGAGGGAAGGTGGAAAGCGTCATGGCAGAAGCGGCTGTAGAGTATCCAGGAGCGTCCCGGAATCCCCTTAGGAGATCTTGTCATCAGAGGTGGGATTCTGCCCATTGGGTTGTAGGTGCCAGGTGCAGAGCGGGAGCCTGCTTTTCAGCGGCTGCACCTGAGCCATAGGGTCCCTTTGGCCTTGTGTGGCTGAATTAAAATGACTGGTAAAACCAGCTGTCACAACCGAGAAACAAGAGAGTTCTTCCTGTTTACTTAAGAGAAGCCAGCTGGCCCTGGGTCAACAGGCCAAAGAGAAGGCCCAGCACTCGTCCAGAAAAGCCAAGAAAGTTAGGTGATGGTGGTGGTAGGGTCTTTCAAAGGCACATTAATTAGGTTAATTAGAGATCTTCACAGAAATCCTGGCAGAGAGAACCTGATCAAGATCTGCTGTTGTTTGTTTGAAACCAAGTCTCACTATATAGCCCTGGCTGGCCTGGAACTCACCCTGTAGACCAGGCTGGCCTCACATTCCAGGTTGGCCTTACAAAGTTATGCCCAGCTATGCCTTCTGAGTGTTGGAATTAAAGGTGTATCTCATCATGCCCTGCATCCATCGAGATTTGAATAAGAAGAGGAAGAGTGGTCCCAGAGATCTGGGGTCCAGGAGTTAGTCTGGTTGAGTGGGTGGGGAGGGGAAGGTCAGGTTGTGAAAGAAGACAGGGTTCTTAGCGGGACGCAGCCATACACAGACTCCACCAACAGCTGGGGCAGGGGTGGGTGGGGGATGCCTAGATGGAGGGCTTTTCTGGTATGTCACATCTGAAACCCTGGTCTGGAGGAAGACTGCCTTGGGGAATGACAGGAAACCTTTGGTGCAAACCTGGTGATTGGAGACTGAGTTTCTCCCAGGACCTACAGCTTTGAACAGTCTATCATTCTGCTGACACCCCACTATGACCCTCCCTTTGAGGATGGTAAGTCACTTTCTTCCCCCAGGTCACAGCTAATATCACCATCATCAGGAGAAGGAATGCTTCTGAGGACTGGGCTGATGTGTAAGTGTGTGTTGACACCTCCTGGGCGGGGGAAGACTGTGGAAAATACTTCCCTGAACAGCTTTATTGACGGGTTCAGGCTGAGGTAACAGTCACATTGCCTTTCAGGAAAACAAAAACAGCGTCACAGAGACATGGAATGAAGGAACTAGGGAAGGCAGCTCAGTGCTTTTTGAGTAGACTGTTAGATGTGGAAGACAAACCAGATGCTTAGCTCTAGGGTGGCATCTCAATGCTGTCTTAGTTCCCAGGGAGACCCGTCTAGTAAAAGGACAATTCAGAGACCTAATAGATGGCAAGATGGCAGGCTGTGCCGTCACTGAATTGCCAAGTCTACAGGGTCTGTTGTGGTTCAGACACCTTGAGGAAGATACATCTATGGCACGAGCAAAGGCGTGAACATCGGACCAGGGGGGTTTCAATCTGGATGGATGACGCATCCCTTAGGGAAAAGGAAGTCAGAGCATCCACATACTGTTTCACCCCTTTGGCAGTGAACTCCCAACTCTTACATGAACTCATGAATGGCCCTAGGCAACCACAGTGCTGTTCCGGCTTTTTAAAATCCTCATTAGTTTTCTTGCTTTTTGGTGTAGATCTTTGAAGGTGGTCAGAGGTTAGTGGGCTCCAAGTGGAGTGAATCGGAGCATTAAGACATCGAATTAAGAAACAAAAAGCCCCAAATAGCAGATCTGTGAACCAAGACTGGAAATTTAAAACCCCATTGTGGGTGACCACCCCTCACTAGCTTTCGCACCCAGTGAGCTCTGGTTCCATATTGTGGGAGCCCGTTCCGGGGTTCCTCGTGGCTTTACCCAGCAGGTCCGAATAGAGGATGATTGGACCATGGGCCTGAGTGCAGGTGTCTGAGATGGTCTGCACTTGGCTGTGCTGGGGGAGGAGGTCTTTTGCTCCACCCCTTGGCGTCTCTATAAAAACCCTGGGCCAGAGACAGTCGGGGCCCATTGGAATAGGTTCCAGGCCCTCTCGAGGCTATCCTTTATTTTCTATCTGTTTATCTCCACAAGATTCTCCGCTATAAATCCTTCTATCTAATATTTCCTGCTGCTCGCACTCAAGAAAACTCTGGGAAGCTGTGGGGGTGGTGGGTAAACGCCCCACACCATATCATAGTGCTTCCGACAAAAACCGCTGGCTCCCTCCCAGATGTTCTGCTAACCAACAAGACATTAAACGTTGGATTTCAGCCTGCTTTGAAGGCGAAGACTGACCTCACTTGTTTCATCTTGGTAATGTCCTGTCTCAGACAGGTCAATGGCAGTGTTGGCCAGCATGGATTCATCTGTGCAAGCCACCTGTGGGAGACAGTGTCCTATCAGGTCACACACTCAGAACGGTGCTGTATAACAACAACAACAACAACAACAACAACAACAACAACAACAGCAACAACAACAAAAAGGGTGTCTTCATCAGAGTGGGAAATATTAAATGGAGGCTATTACATCATTATCACCTGAAACTGGTGCATTCTTGCCTGCAACAGTGTATGATGCTCAGGCACGCCCAGCCTTATAATACAGTGACACAATAGTGTTATCTATAATATTCACACTTAAAAACCATGAAAACAGGATACAAAAAGATTGAAATAAACACACACACACACACACACACACACACACACACACACACACACACACACACACTTCACAGTGTTCCAGAGGCAGCTTATGATTTTGTGCTGGTCTGCATATAGAGCTATCTTTGGTTCCAGGTGGCTCTGGGGCAAATATTGAGCTGGACAGTCTCCGTAGAGGTGAGAGCAGTGCTATTAAAAGAAAGTGGAAGGGTTGCTGGCCAGACAGAGGGTGTTGGAGGAAATGATGAAACTGTAAGTGGTGTAGGTAAGATGAGCGCAGACTTGTCCCTCAGATCCTAAAATGCAGCTGCGGCTGAGAAGCTCCAGAAAGGCAAGTTCAGGACAAGTCTGTGGAAATACAACTTCACACAGTGGGTAATGAATCCGTGGAATGGATTATCTCCCAGAGGTGGCCGAAACTGGTACTGTAAGTGGATTCCAGGAAGCTTTGGACAGACATCTGAATGGCAGAGCTGTAACAGAGAGGCTAGGAAAGCTGAGAAGTACACCAAGTGGTTGGGAGTTCAAGGCGGCCCCACAGTATGGAGCTCTGGTCTTTGTAGCCAAAGGAGTCCTGGCCTCTGGGTGCTTAGATTTGAGCCAATGGGCAGCCCAACACTCCCTCCACATCTCACAGCGTCTGTAACCTCTGCTCCTACAGACAGCAAAGCTGTTCTTTTTACCTAAGCCTTACACGTTAAAACACGTTCCTCTTTCATCTTGGCTCTCAACTTCTGAAAAGATTTTGAATATGTCTTCAGACGGATTATTGTGTATATCTCTCACAATTAGATTTCTGTCAGACTTTCCTCCTAAATTATCAAATTGGAATATAAATGACTCTCATTTTGAAAGCTCCTCTGCAGAAAAGCACTAACAATACACTTTCCTTGGGAATACTTAGTGCGTCATCCAAAGTGTCCTCGCTGCTACATGAGGGATGCGGGGCAAAAATGTTGCTTTCACGGCCATTGTGCCAAATCTTGGCATTGGCAGTGGAGGGGAGATTAAGGAAACTCTTGGTCTTCTCTTCTAACAACCGACCTGTCTCTCCACCCCTCTGCTCCATGTACTCTAAGCCTTCTTTAGCGTTCGTAAATGTTGTTGGAAACAGCACGCTGGCCCACCTCCTTGAGTATAGGCATGACTCCGAGGGGGTAGTTTTTGTATTTCTGGGCACTAAGGGGTTCAGTTTTCATTTTCAGTCTCAGCCCCAGCACTGTTTTGAAAGCAGTTTCACGTGAGATGGCCTGCCTTTGTGAACCGGCAACCCTGCTGCTTAGAGGCAGCCTCCCTTCGCTGGACTTGGCCTCGGCTTTGTCAATGTAAACAGTGGGCTTCTGGATTCCGTTCTTGTGGCGGCAGATCAGAGCAGGAGAGCCCACAGAGTTCTCATTTTGCCTCTTTCTGCGGTTTACTCTGTCACCTGCTCTTCGTGTGGGGATGGGTTTAATTATTGATTTACAGAGTGAGTCCACTCTACGGGGTCCCAAAGCCTACACCTAGCAGGTAGAACATTTCTTGTCACTGTGTTGGAGAGCTCCCTGGGAAACCTCTGCTTCCTCTGCCCACCTCATTCATTCGGGCGGCGGCAGGTTTTGTGAAGGTTGAAACTGTTCAGAGCCTCTTGCCCGGAGGGCCCATGAAATAACTGTGGCTTTGAAATTGGCTTCCTTGACTACTTTAGTGACTCAGAATATCAGTGTTACCACAAACAAACTTCCTGTCCCGGGGGTGGCTCTTTCATAACAGGTAAAAGGAAGGGCTTGAAAAGAAGAAAGAAAAAAAAAAAAGAAAGGAAGGAAGGAAGACGACGAGAGAGC